CATGAAATTGAAAAAAATCTGGAAAATTTGCCACGTTGGAAAGGCGCCCGCTGCCGTGGCCTAGGTTTCTCACTGAAAATACTCGTCCCCCGGCGGCACCTTTTTTTGAATTTTCTTCCTTTTCAACGCCGTTTTTCGGGGATTTCGGATTTTTTTTGAATTTTTTCGCAATAATATTAGGAAAATAGATAAATTTTAACACATTTTAATGCAATAAAAATTTTTGGTCGGAGTCCCCCTTTAAAGCAATCAAAAAATAGTTAAATGACAAAATTTTTATCATAATATCAGCAACATTCTATCAGTTGATAGTTTTTTGTTACATCTTTTACATCTTTTACAGGAACTGTGATAATCTGCCGGGTCGGCTCTAAAAGAAGACCACATTATACGTTCACTTTGAGCTCGATTATCTCAGTTTTTATTAGAGATATCAAATATTTGGCAAATAATAAAACATTGTTAATATTGTGATAAACATTTTGTCAGTTGACCATTTTTGGTTATCGCTCATAGGAATCGAGATATGCAGGCTCAAATGGGACGTATAGCTTCTATATGAGCAGACAGAGTAGGTTAGGATATAGTCAGAAGTGCGCTTCAAAGTGTAATGTATGTATTAAAATTTGAATTATGAATTCCCAGCTATCACTTTTTAGTCTCAGAGAAATTATTCCAGACACTTTGGTTCTCGTCAACCAACCAGGAACCGATTCATCAACGCCATTTACTGGGGATTCCGTCGCTGTCAATTCTGGCTGTGCTTCTATGATGATGGTAACTCTACAGCATCCTAATACTCAATTATTCTTCAAATTCAGAAGTCGAAATCGATGTGGAGGACCTTCTATCCAACCCATTCAACACCCAGCCTCCAGGACTTGATCAACTGGTTCAGTTGACCGGATTCGATCGGAAATGGATCATGTTCATGTATCGGAACTTCAAGCAGGTAGCCTTCCCTGAATTTGAGTTTCCGCACATAAAAAATGTCTTTAGAAGTGCTCAAACGGGCGAATGACCGAGTCCCAATGGCGCATCGTCTTTCGTAGTCTATTTCCGCAAGCCAACGACTCTGCATTTGTGGATAGGCTCTATTCAGCAATCATCAAGAACAAACAACATCAACAGATCACTTTCGAGGACCTTATCATTTGTCTTTGGGAACTTTCGGATGACGGGAAGTCGTCAGAAATGAGCAATTCGCATATCAATCCATCGTCTCGTGCTCAATTCGCATTCCATTTGATGGATGTGGAGGGAAAGGTTTGTTCGGATACCTGTAATAGAAGGGTCCCTAACTTTGAGCCAATTTATCTCGGTTCCTTTCAAAGATATAGAAAAAGGTGTCAACTGATAAATTGTTTATCATAATATCAGAAATGTTTTATCAGCGGACGCATTTTTAAAATCTTTCATAAGAGCCGAGAAAAATTAGCCCAAACTTAACAGTGTGGGGAACCTTCATTTGGAGGCTTTACTGTAGTTTTTCAGGGCCGAGTTGACGAAGCCGGTTTCATCAAGTACACACGCTGTGTATTCGCTCTGACTGCTTCTCACCAGGTCATTGATGCGGTAACCATCGGACTACCAGCTGGAAGCATCTATAGATCAAAATCGGCAGATGACGATTTGAAGCCGTTGTCTCCATTGATCGCTAGATTCTCGGCGAAGAGATTCAAGGTGGGTCAGCTTGCCCAAGGCTTGCTTACCCTTGATCTCAATTATCTCGGCTCCTTTGAGAGATATCAAAAGTTTGTCAATAGATAAAATGGAGCCAATATTATGATAAACATTTTATTAGTTGACATAGTTTTGATATCTTTTGAAGAAACGAAGATAATTAAGCTTGAAGTGCAAGTACCGTATTTGTTTATTAGAGACCCACTACACTTTGAGCTCCATTATCTCAGTTCCTATATAGAGATATCAAAAATCCGTCAACTGTTAAAATGTAGCTGATAATATGATAAATAGTTTATCAATAAAAAATTTTTGTTACCTTTTGTATGAACCAAGATAATTGAGATCAAAGTACAATATACTTTTTCCAATCTTCTCATTTTCCAGGAACTTGATGAAGATCGTGACGGCTACATTACCGTTCGCGATATCGAACGAGAGATTGAAATCCAGCAAAACGAAGCAATCTGTCTAAAATCTCTGAAAAATTTCACAATTCAAGAAGAAGAGGATGATGAAGATGTGGACATAAATCCTCTACTCTCGCCGAGCACCAGTGGCGGTTCCAAAAAGAGGGACTAACTAACACGACTGCTTATTAAATCTCCTATATTTATTCTCTCTATCTCTTTCGAAGAAATAATATCAGAACAACATTATTATTTAGTATGTATTATGCTTAATGCAAAGAAAGATGTAAAGAAAATCTAGTCCAGTTATCAGAAGAAAATATCTGAACGATAATGGACAATTAATAGACGAAAAGAACATTATCTACAGCCTAAAAAAGAACGAAAAAGAAGAAAAAAAAACGAAATGCCTGCTGCTGGAATCGAACCAGCGTCGCCACGGCCACAACGTGGAGTACTAACCACTATACTAAGCAGGCCAAGAGTGCCAGCGACCAGTTGGCGTATAAGAAAGGGGGAGACGCGGAGGGCTGCGTGAGCAGGGTGGGGGCATTATCAGTAGTTGTAAAAGCTTTTACGACGACTTCAAATTTCAGAAAATTAAAAAAAGTTTCCAATTAAAAGATTTTTCTGATAGTTTTACTATCATATTGTGGTTCCTATAGATTTAAGCCAATTTCCTCTTCAATCGTCTTCTAGAAAATGTCTCCTAGAAGGTCACACTTATCTGTTCTTCCTACGATTTTGATATATAAAAGGGATGTATCCAAAAACATTCTAAACAAGTTCCCATGAAACAAGTACATCTCTTTTCTTTTGTTTTGCCTCATTCCCTGTCCCTCGCCCCTATATAAAAAGACTAATCAGATCCAATTCCAGCAGTTGCAAATCTCTGAAAATGGGCTGGTTCACTGATTTTGTCGGATATTCTTCTATTCTAACTTCAGTACTTGTTATCACTTGTACTCTGGCCTACATTCCTTATATGCTTCATAGAATGGAAGCTATAACCGAGGCATTGAAAGTCCATAATGACGAATTTTTGGTGCTGGAGACTGAAGCCAGAAGTCAACTTGGAGAGCTTCGACACGATTATCCTAGAATCCGAAGAGCCACGAATTACAACAGGAAGAGACAGACCGGAGAATGTCGTAAGTATGCTTTTTTGCTTCCGCCACCGCCTCAAACGGAAGGCTTCCGTAGTAGAGGGCGGCGCCGCTGGTCGGCCGACATATCTACGTCAACTGGTCGCCTGTTCTCTCGGCCTGCTTAGTATAGTGGTTAGTACTCCACGTTGTGGCCGTGGCGACGCTGGTTCGATTCCAGCAGCAGGCATTGTTTTTTAAAACGTTTTTTGGAGTTTTTAGGAATCGTAGATAAGGCTGAAAGACTTTTTTCTGTATTTCGAATACCGACCAAAGTTTTTGTTGAATTAAAAGCTGTAAAGTTACAGTACCGGTCAATAAGATATACAAAAACGCATTTTTTTCTGTTGGTTTTCGGCATTTTCAGGACACTGGAGCTCGGCTTTCAAGTTCCCAATCACTTTGAAAATTTCGGAGGGTGTAAAACTGACCTAGATTGAAAACTTTGCATTCAAAACATTTTTCGAAAATTTTTCATTTTTCAGCTATTTGCCGATTTCTGAAAGAGACCTGTATTTAATGTTTTCAGCACAAAAATCACTGAAAATGGTAGGAAAAAAAATCTGAAATTCAATTTTCACTGTTTTCTACATTTTTGAGCTCATTACCAGCTTCAAAACGAGCCCAAACTCGACTAGGCTCCGCCGATTTTGAAAATTCACCTAGACACGCGACGCACGACCGCGACGCGCTGGAAAAACTAAACTTGCTCATTTTCAAGCGCTAGACAGATGAGATCTCTAAGAAATTTGAATTTTAAAAGATAGGGGAAGTTTAAGCGAATATTAAAACTTTTCGAAAATTTCAAAAATGATTTTTAGCTAATTTTTAATGATTTTCAGCTGTAGTTTTACTTGGTTGAAGTAATCGGAAGCTTGACATCCAAGCTCCAGATTCCTGAAAATGGTACTTTTGAATCTGAAATATTCCAGAATGCGATGGTCAGAACGTTTGCCCTGGCGGACCAAAGGGACAACCTGGACGTAACGGAGAGGATGGAAATCCAGGACAACCCGGGTCTCCAGGAGAGCCAGGAACCACTGGAATCACTCCACCAACCGATTACGCGAATGAGAAATCGTGCCGCCAGTGTCCACCCGGACCACGTGGACAGCCAGGATACGGAGGACCACCGGGACCACCAGGACTTCCAGGACAACCGGGACACAATGGAAACTCTGGACGGCCTGGAAACAACGGACCAATGGGACAACAAGGAGAGTCAGGACGAGAAGGGCAACCTGGAAAAGCTGGTGGACCAGGATCTCCCGGCAGAGATGGAATTCGGGGATCAAAGGGATCTACTGGAGACAAGGGACCAAATGGGCCACCTGGACAGAATGGACCACCAGGATGGGCGGGTCGAGATGGAAACCAAGGACCACAAGGGCCACCAGGACCACGTGGAGAACCAGGAGGTCCAGGCACTGATGGTTTCCCAGGATTCAGTGGGAATCCTGGACCGGATGGTGTGCCAGGAACCGACTCGGGATACTGTAAGTGTCCAAAGAGAGGTGCATTGGCAAGAGCCGCGTCGAGCAAGATATATTAAATTTTTTAATGGAAATAATAAAGCATTTATTAATTTTTTAATTAATTTTGAACCGCTTGTATAATAACCCGAATATTAAAAAAGCTTCTAAAAATATCAAAACAGATATTTATCATATTCCAATGGTGTATAATCAGATGTGCAATTCAGCACGTAGCCGGGATCATTGTGATACTGATGGTACTGTACCTGAAAATTCGTATTTTTCCTGGAAATCCAAATTTCTGAAATTTTCGAGACCTACCGTAACCATATTTTTATAGAACTCCTCATTGAATGCATCGTTGACTTGACCCAAAAACGTTCGGTTATAAATGAGCTCGGCTGTACATTCCACAATGGAATAGTCAAAAGCGGGAATCATCTGAAAATGTCAAATTTGAATGGGGTGGCCTAACTTTTGTAAGTTGGGTTTTCTAGGCCACCGAGTTAAAATGGCCTAGAAAACAAATCAGATGGATTACAGGTCATTCCTAGTCAATTCCTACATAATGGTGGCCTAGAAAACTCAAATTGCAAAAGTTAGGCCATCATGTTAAAAGTTACCTAGAAAACACACAAGAGTTATGTTAACCTGAACAAGGTGGTGGCCTAGAAAACTAAACTTGCAAAAATTAGGCCACCATGTTAAAATTGCCAGGCAAAAAAGGTGGTGGCCTAGAAAACCCAGTCTTGTGGAAGTAAGGCCACCATGTAAAAGTGACCAAAAAGGGAGAAAGCAATGTCATCAATGACACTCTGATTTTTTTTCGAAAATTATATATTTTTTTGAAAAATTCTCAAAAAAATGTTCACTGATAACTCCTACCTTGTTAAACATGAGGGCCGGAATTCCAGAAACCCCGCGAAAATCTTCAATTCCAAAAATGCACAACTCATTTCTCACTTTTTTCGTAGCACACTGTTTTGAGCTGCCTTGTGCCCAAATGGAGAATCTGAAATTTCATAATGGTTCAGATTTTATGATGCATGGATTCTGTGCCTTGTGATTCCCGGAACTGGAACATCCTGTTTCAGACATTCATCAGTGAAGTGTCCTGGCATTCCGAGAGCCGGATTGATATTCAAGCTAGTGAGATATTGCTCATCGCCACCGTATTTCTGGAATATTGAAGGGCTATTAGAACTTCCTTCCTCTAAAAAACCTACTGATTGATTCCACTGATCTATGAAAACCGAAAGATCAACTTTTCGCACCATCCACTCTACAGTATCTCTTGAAAGACTTCCTTGAACATATCCTGTTGAGAATTTCAGCTCAGAATCCAACACCTCCTTGCTGATAGCAGAGTCTAAAGATAAACATTTTGAATTCCCGCCTGCCTGAATCGCCTACCATTCCCAAACATTCTCAACTCTCTTGGTGTCCATTTCAACTTCTTATTTCTCCTTTTTGCAATCTCTTTAGCCATCCACAGATCGTTGGCTCCATCGAGAAGCTCAAAGATTCGATCTAGTTCATATACTGATTTTGTGATAACGTCGTGTTGTTGAAGAAGCATTAGATAACTCCAACCGGGTCGGGAGATTAGTTCCTGCATGCATTTATAGTGTGCCAAGTTGTTGTTGTGACCTTCGCTGTCATAGGACTCGGTGGCTGAACAGATACTGTGTTTTCTAGGCCATTTTGATATGGTTCTTTCTAGGCCATTTTGATATTTCAACTTTCACGAGTTGAATTTTTAAGGCCCTGTCGTACGAGGCTCAGAACCACACCAGGTGAATACCACGTGAATATTACTTCATAATTTACCATGACGACCTAGAAAACTCAACTTGCAAAAGTTAGGCTCAAATTTCTAGTCCATTTCGATCTTCTGACCCTACTTGTTTTCCTTGTCTTGCCTCCCAAATGCCCCGTACACGATATCCCGCACTTATTGACCTTCACACGTCTACCACCCATACATTTACGTATGTGTATGTTCTCTCACGCATCATTCGGACACGACCCCCTTTTCTCCACATGGAAAACCAGTCTATATAATGTTGCCGTATTCCCGCCTAAAGTCCAAAATCTTCGGCGTCCATCCACTGTTGCATTATTCTCAGATTGTCCTAGTTTTTTTTTCTTTTGCGCAGAATTTCTTTTTCACAGTTTTAGTTATGTACTTTCACAGTTTTAGTTATGTACCGAGTAGCCCATTCCTAAGAGTACATTAATTTCAAAATGTCATACTTGAAACGTCTCCAGCTGTTCATTCAATAAATGTTTTTATTTTTTTACAGTGACAGGTTTTCAAAATAGAAAAGCAAAAACAAGGACTACGTTGGAACATCAATGGAAAGGCTCCCTTACCGTCAACGTTGAGCCCGTATATCTCATTTTCTGTGAAAGATATCAAAAAGTGGTCAATTGATAAAATATTGCTGATATTATGATAATAATTTTATTAGTTGACTACTTTTTAGTGCCTCTCAAAACCGAAATAAATGAGTTCAAAGTGCACGTATAGGGTAGGCTTCGTTCAGGATGGGAACAGTCATCTTTGAGTCAATTTATCTCGGTTCATGTAGAAGATATCAAAAAGTTGTCAACTGACAAAATGTTTATCATAATATCACCAATGTTTTATTGATTGACTACTTTTTGAAATCTTGCATAGGAAGTGAGATATATTAGCTTAAATTTGACGATTTCGGGGCATTCTATCAGAGTGTTTACGGAGTTTGCTTGTCCAGAAGTTGAGGACGGTTCTTCATGGAGACAAATGACAAAAATGAATGAAACTTCATAATATAAACTATCGATGCCCTTTTAATAATTCAAGGAAGAGGAAATCGCAACATGGAGAAAATAAGAAACACCGGATTGAAAACAACCCAGGAAGTGTCCGTGTTCAATTGGGAAAAGAAAATTGCATTTTGTAAAACTTTTTTGTCGATTTTATTTAATAAATTATGTACTTTTTATCACGATGATCATTAATTAAAAGTTGATATGGCAATCCAACAGAAATATGTGTACTTTAGCATGTGTTAAAACGCGGTCAAGGTTGGGGAAGTACTCCTTTTGATGCGACACGGGAGTGTCTCTCCCACTCTCTCTTTTTCTCTTTTCCACTTTTTTTGTATGGCCAAATATACGACACACGTTTTCTGACAGATTTTAATATTTTAAACCTGTAATAGAAGGGCCCGCACACTGTCTTTTGTTTGAGCTCAATCACCTCAATTCCTATGCAAGATATCAAAAAGTTTTCAACTAAAGAAAGTTTCATATTATGTTCAAAAATTTATCAGTTGACAGCTTTTTAATATCTTTCACTGGAACTGAGAAAAATTGGCCCAAAGTTGAAAGTTGAGTGCTCTTCTATTACAGGTTTCACAGTAACTGATTAAGGCTAAGCCTCAATATGAACATGTGAACTTCGACCCGCCTCAAAGTGTAGTGAACAGGGAATTGTCTGACCGACTTCAATTTTGATATTATCAGTTTCTTATCATTATCACTGACTTTATTACCCCCATTTCGGTGCCAACACTAACCGCTACATAAAAACAACGCATATATTACACTTTCCACAATTTTTCCTGACTTTAGCACTCACCAGGCAACACTATAACATTTGGTAGACACTCTGACAGCTTTCTCATTTTCTCATGAAACTCTTCTGGTGATTTTTGGTCCACCGCAAAGCAAAAATAGTTCTGTGGATGGTAGGAAACTTGAATTTGCTTTTCGATGAACTCATAATCAGTGTACACAATTCTGGCGAAAGCTGTTCCGGATAACTTGAGAGGGTCAAAGTGTAGATGGTGTGGGCGGATCCTGGAGTTGATTGCCGGGCATGTCATGTTGAGATAAGGGTCCGGGATTAAGGGGATTCGCGATCCACCGGTTAGGGTGGAGAGGTAGTCCTGCAATTTGAATCTTTGTAGAAAACGCTAGGCTTGTAGCCTCCTTAAAAATCCACTTGTTAGCATACTTGTAATCCGGGTCTTTGCCGGGCCTTCGCGGGCCTTGCCATAACTTCTTTCAGAATCAATGTTTTCGAACCAACTCAATTAGGTATGATAGAGCTCCACGAGTACTACAAAACGGTATTATTTGGAATACTGTATCTTGTATGTGAACAGAGCTCCAGAGCAAAAGGAACA